AAGTGAACACGTGCTTATTTATTTGTTGGTTAACCTTAAACTCGAATTCTAACTAACCCTCAACCCAATTTTTAGAATGACACTAAACTCGAATTCTAACTTTAACTAGTCTAACATTAAATTCTAAGGCTGAATTCTAACACTAAACTTAAACCTGAATTGACAGCACTACGACAATATTATAGTGAAAATTCTATCAACCACACACAACTATCAAAAACAGCACTTCAGAGTGTCAAAACGATATGGAAAGCTATAGATGATGATGCACCAGTACCAATGACTTAGAAAAAAAAAATTGTTAGTATGTATACAAATGATAATACTAATAGCAAAAAAAGAAAAAATACTTCATTGTCGTGCAATTCACAAAATTACGTCATCACTGAGTTACGTTTCCATTAACTTTGACACCAACGATGGCACCAAAATACAGGTGATACGAACGACACAATTAACCATTATTCAGAAAAAAGTTGGCATATATTTGGACGACAATACTGAAGTGAAAAAAATACTTAGCTGTGTGTGTAGCCCAAAGCACTTATGAGTCATTCCAAATCCGACTATCCAACCGTCTAGGCTATTGTATTACAAAAGAATAAATAAAGTGTTTATACAAATAAATAAATAAATAAAAGGGTTATATAATTTAGTGCATGTGCGTTGTAACGCACCCACCTGATCGACCAATCAGATCGTAAGATCAGGTGTAATGTGAAATTGAAAAAAAAATAGAAAAAATCGCTTGTAACTCATAATTTGCGTTCTAACAAAAATTTCCTTGCAAAATTTTGGGTATAACTAACATTTACCTACACTTACTCTAAATTAATGCGATTTCACGTTACACCGGATCTTAAGACGCACCCGCGCCAAATGATAAAATTATAAATAAAATACGTAGTATAAAAACAAAAAACTATATAGTTACACATAACAGGTGATCATCACGCAGGTTATTTGTAGTCAAAATTTAATAATATTACTAGTAAAATTACTAGTATGAAGAAAATTTATTATTCTAAGCGTCAAGTTATGAATATTACTTACATATTACTTATTTATTTGGAGCGAGTTTTTAATTTGACTATACTGCAAACATTAGAATGCTAGATTATGTTGCGAGTTTTGTTTAGAGACCATTATGAAACTCAGCTACATATATTTTAAGCTAAACAATAAATTTTAAAGTAATGGATAATATATGAGGATTGATTATTTAAATGAGTTTATTTAAACTTAGAGGAATAAATATTTTTTACACACACTATATTAATACAATTTAAATAGCAGACATTCAAAAACTTAAACAGATTGTATTTAATTATTTAAATTAATAAATTTTTTAATGCTTATATCCCAAGCAACATGACGGATCAAATTGTTAGAATTAAAGTTAGGTCGTTCTTGGTTTCATCGCGCAGCTACATTTACCTATATTTCTTAATACCGTAACCACAAACTATAATACTCCTGTTATAATGTCCACCCCATAACTGGGTACTATGGTGTACTATAGTCAATATAGAACTTTCTACCGCTAATAAGTTTTTCCAGAAATTGCGTAATGATGATCTTTAAATTTCCAAATTTGGAGCGCAACACGAGTCATGATCTACAAATTAGTTAGTCACGTAAAAATCGCGGTCATTTGAACAACATCGTGTTTACAATCCCACAATTCTTAAATTGTATATAAGGCCCCTTTTCTTTCTCTTCGCTACTTTTCAACACAAACCACTACACTCTCCG